GTGTGTCTGCAAAGTAAGTCCGTGGCGGAGGTCTGTTTTCTTCATTATCGGATGTCTGACATTTGGACAGTATTCCCAGATCCAAGCCTCACAGAGAATGCCTTTGTTCACATGTGCGCTTCCTCCCTCCTCCACTCCCCATCTCCACACTCCCCCAGTCCAAGAGCAACGCGCTAAGGGAAGGATCTCCGCCAACACTAAAATCACCTACATAAAATGCAGATCTCTTGCTGCGTGGTAAAACACTCCCTATCACAAACATATGTGGACCCTGCTTCTTTTGTTACTCAGCTTTTGGCAGCAAGGAAGGTTCCGCCATTTCATCTCCAAATGCGTTTTGCATTCACAAGGAGAGTCAGCGGGCTGAGTGTGATATTTGCCACCGGTTTCTGACTGGCAGCCAATTCCTCTTCCCACCTCTGTGGCACACACTGCCCTGAAGCAGCAATCTGGCCTCCCAGGCTGGACGTTTTGTGCAGACAGCCAAGCGGGACACGTGCGCAGCGCAGGCACTGGAGCGTTTCACAAGGCTGATCGGGGGGACGTAAAAAACAGGTGGTGGAGGCCGCCCTCAAGGAATCTGGAGGAAACCCTGTGTGTGCTCGTGTGCTTCTTGTCATAACACAGTGCAGGGACAGGAGAGGTGACAGTCCAATCTCTCTCTGGTAGCTCAACATTCATATCTGCCCCAAATACCTCTTACTAGTCTGACTTTTCTCTGTGGGATGATTTTAAATGAAGTATATTCCCAGATCTTGGATTTTATTATTTATAATATATATCATATATCTAATTTATAATATATATCTTAAATTTTATTTCATGTTAATGATTTAAGATTAAAAAACAGCAAAATTTGCCATGAGTCTGGTAATACTCTACGCTTACTGATTTAACTGAACACTCTCAGTCCTATTAGATATAACAGACTGGGGGCTTGAATAGAAGGAGTTTATTTCACATAATTCTGGAGGCCCTGAGGACCAACGTGCTGGCTAGTTCAGTTTCTGGTTACGATTATTTTCTGGGCCTGCAGATGGTCACCTTCTTGTTGTGTCCTATAGTAGAGACAGCACAAACCAGCAAACTCTCAAGTTTCTCTTCCCCCAGGAACACTAAGGACATAAAATCAGAGTCCTAGCCTCATGATTTCAACCAAACTTAATTAACACAGATACACATGCAGTCATATTTGGTGTAAGACCATGTGAATTTGAAGGGAGGGAGTAAAGTCAGTGTCTAAAAATGACTAAATGAATTAAACAACATACTAGGAACACCACTTGTCAGGATACAAAATCAAGACAAAGAAATCTGCAACATTCCTGTATATCGATAAAGAACCCACTGCAAAAGAAGTCAGAAAAACAATTACATTCACAGTAGCTTCCAAAAAATTTAAATTCCTAGGAATCACCCTAACAAACAAGTGAAAGACCTCTATGATAAAAGTTACAGAACGGTAAAGAAAGAAATTGAAAAGGAGATCAGAAAATGGAAGACTTCTCTTGTTTTTGGGTCCGCAGAATTAACATTTAAAAAATAACTATACTACCAAAATGATCTATAGATTTAATGCAATGCCTATTAAAAGGCCAACAACGTTTTTCACAAAAATAGAAAAAACAATCCTAAAAGTTGTTTGGAATCAGAAAAGACTCAGAATAATCAAAGCAATCATGAGCAAAAAGAGAGAAGCAGGAAGCATCACAATCCTGAATTTTGAATTATTCCACACATCCACAGTAGCGAATAGCAGGGCACCGGCGTCAAAACAGACATACAGACACACACACACACACACAACCATGTAAGTCCAAAGAGGAGAATTTCTGGAAAACCCAAACCGGGAAATCTAAAAAGTAGTCAGTAGTCAGGCAGGAAAAATAAAATCCAAAATAAATCAAGGACTGCCTTTAGCCCTAAACTAATGACTGACTTCTCACTAGAACTGTGCAAATTAGAGAACAGGGCAACATCATTTTTTACCTGCTGGAAGAAAATAAGTGCCAAGCTAAGATTCCATTACATAGGAAATGTCTTTCACAATCAAAAGGTACACAAAGACATTTTAAGACCAAAAGAGGAATGTTGTTGTCAACATAACATCTCTAAAATAATAACTACAGAGAGTTAGTGCAGAAATGCAAGAAAAAGTGAGTGATCAAAAGGGTGAATAGGTGGGTGACATTCAGTGACTACTGGCTGTATCAAATGCTGTAGTATCAAATGTGTAGCATCAAAATAGAGACAGATTAAGAGCTCTAAGGGTTTTACATTTGTCTGAAAAGTGGTGAAATCTTAATTTATGTTAGATAAAATGAGTCTAGAATTTATATTACTTTAGTATAATCACTGTACTGTACTGTACTTTAGTACAATCACTGACACAAATAATTTATTACTATAAAGGGTACAAAATGAGAAAAAAATAAAATTGTATACACTGTTGAGTAATACAGAAGAATGCAATAAGAAAAACTAAATACATATTATATAGGACAAATAGAAAAATAACAAAACAGATTTAAAAACAATCAGCAATTACATTAAATGTAAATGGATTACTCTATTTAAAAATAGTGTCATGATCCATCAAAAATAAAACCCCACTACATATCACCTAAAAGAGACATAATTAAATATTAGGATATAGAAATATTGAAAGGAAAAAATTGAAAAAGACATCTTACGTATGTATTTCTAAAGAAAGTCGGCATAGATACACTATTATCAACAAATTAGACTTCAAAATGAAAAGCGTTACTATAGATAAAAAGAAAGTTGCCTAAGAATAAAAGATTTAATACTAGGGATGTATGTATTTATAGTTGTATTTATTCAACAACAAAATGTTGAAATGGATCAAAAGGAGCAACAGAAAAATCTTCACTTACACTGTGAGATTTAACAGACTTCTCCTGTTAACTAATGAGACAAATAAGGAACAGGAGGCGGTGCCGAGGGGAGGGAGAATACGAAGGATTGAACCATAAAATTGTTAAAAACCATCCTAGTGGACAAATAATACATTACAACCAACGACTGCATACTATATGCTGTTTATAAGAACACAAGGAATGTTGGGAGCCTGCCATATTACCCATGAGAATATAGCCACAAGATGGCGTCCGCCTACCGCCTCGCTGCTCCCCCGCCCATCGTGTGCCCAAGATGGCGCACACATCCTGCTTCCTGGTTCTTGCTCGGCTTACTGTCCCCGCCATATATGGTAATGATTGATTGCTTCCTTGTTGCCGCCCAATCGCCTGTCCCCACGTGTAATCCCATGATTGGATAACATTAGCTATATAAGTATAGGAAGTGCCCGACGCACAACACGTAGGAAGCCGTCAAGGACGGACGTGTATTGAGGTTGTAGCCCAGTCAATAAAGGAGCCTGCAGAGACAAAGTGTTCGTGTGCCTCATTCTGCGGGACAGACGCGGCGCTGGACAAAGGAATATGCACAAAAAATAATTAATGTGGGGGCCACAAAGCAAATTTCAAGTGGCTGAAATTATAAAGAATAGTGTTCATGGGTTATAGAGCAATAACTGGGTATGTTTTGTTATTATTGAAATAAATGCAAGAATAGAAGATCTAAAATCTTACAAAATTGAGCAATATAATTTAAAATAATCCATTGACCAAAAAGAATAAAAGAAGGTAGAAATTATGTACTTTTCAATGAAATTAAATAAAACCATGATGAATTTTAGAGGGCACTGAAGGACAGGCGTAACAGGCTCAGCATACTGACTGCCACCATTAGCAATGAAGAAAGGCTGAAAATTCATGTCCTAAGCGTCTATCTTAAAAAGGTTTAAAAAATTAAGCATTTTAATGCATACAAGGAAGATAATAATAAGAAAAAAACACAAATTAATAAGGTAACAAAAATACAACCAAAACAAAATTGGTTCTTTGAGAAAAATAATAAATGTGTTATATCTCATACAACAGAGGAAAAACTACTAATATTACTATATATTTCAAGAGACATTAAATGACAATAAGGTATTATACAAGCAATTTTATGCTCATGAATTTAAAACTCTAGATGGAATAAATTTCTGAAGAAACTTATGGCCTGTGAAAACAAATACATGATGAAATAGATAAAGGTGCTTAATCTCACATCAATTATAGAAATTGAATCTATAATTTAAGGTCTTCCCCAAAGAAACTATCAGGCCAAGGTGAGCTCATCAGTGGCTTCTTTCAACACCTGAAAAATCTAATTGAGACATTCAAAAGAGGGAAGACACTTCCCAACTTGTTTCATGAAGCCAGAGTAGTTCTTATTCCAAAAACAGAAAAGGATGTTAAAAGAAAATTACATGACTAATGTCTGATTCCTAAAGTTGAGATCACACTAGAGGTATCAGCTAGAGACATTTTGTCCAAAAATTGTATAAGTGATTCAAAACTATGATTACAAATCTGCCAGAGGAGATCCTGCAAAATCTTCCTTTGCCAAGCTCCACTGATTTCCCAAAAAGACTCTTGCTAATCATTTGCTCCTTAGGACTCAGTATTGTCTTTTAAATTATCTTCTTATCTCCTAAACAAAGTCTAGATTTCTCTCGGTTTTGACATCAAGTCTTACATACTTTATTTTTTCTAGAACTGGGGATTCAAACAGGGCCCCGTGAATGCTAGGCATTTGCTTTACCACTGAGCAACAGCCCCCAGCCCTTTCTATTTTATTTAGAGACAGGATCTCGCTAAGTTCCCAAATGGCATGGTTGCGATCCTCCTGCCTTCACCTCCTAGAGTGCTGGAATTATAGGCATGTACCACAGTGCTTGGACAATATTCCTAGGCACTGTAATATGAATTTAGTCCACTATTATCTGTGGAAAGTTGGGTCTCAGAAGAGAAATGTTGGCTGCTACGTAACTTGCTTAAGTCAGCTATGTCATATTGGCCTTTGGGTTTTATTTTCAACATTATTATCCCATTTCCAGTACTACATGCCTTCAAGTGTTTTCATACCTGATGGAAGTCACCCACTTGCCGGACATAACCAGCCACTTCGTTATCAGATTTAAAGATCTTCCAAACTTTTCTTCGTATCCTCGGGTATTTCTGGGTTCCTTTCCAGTCCATGGTCATCAAGGAGCGCTCCGTCAGGGAAGCTGCCACGATGATGTCCAGTTGGCCATTGTAGAGCAGAACCTGGAATGAAATCAGGCCATCAGCAAACACAGGATTCAGAAAATGAAGCCAGTGAACTGATTTAAACAGAGAGTGAGTCAGTGAGAGAGAAAAGGAAATTTGAAGTTCTTTGATACCATGCTCAAAGAGGTCAGCCTGGCAGATCAGAGTGCCACATTTCAGAGAGCCACACATACCAGAAACCATTGTTTTTTCTAACGGTATTATTCATAGTAATAATTCTGTATAGTAATCTGCAAAGTGTATGCTCTTGGTTGCAAAAATATTTATAGTGTATTGTCCAGGAAATGTGCAACATATATATATATATATATATATATATATGATCTCTCTGTGTGTGCTCTTCAAATGATTGCATAGCTAGGACTATGGTTGCATTTTCATATAACTAAAGAATACTGCATCTAGGATTTCACCTGCCTTTCCTTAACTTTGGATTCAGACTTTTCAGGAGCTAGCAAATGGGGTTTTCTCTCAGGTGTTGCTAATCCATATTGCTCTGTCCTCCTACACTGAGTTCAGTAATGACTGTAATTTTTTGAAGTAGAAAGATAGATGTGGGTGCCTCAGTTGTGTTACTTGTTGGAGGAAGCTATGCTTGCCATGCCACTTCTAAGGCATCCTTTTTTTAAATATGATAGCCAAAAGAAAAGAATGTCTTGTTTTCCTAGAATGCTACCCTCTAAACTGATGGATATCATAGGAAAAACAATGCTGAAACAACTCTTCTCTTTGCACATCACACAAATTGTGGAAAAGACTGAAAAATTTTGAGATTCTCTTGTCTCAGTAATCCCAATTTATGGAGTGTATTCTATCAAGATAAGCCCACATAAAATTTATGCAACTATATTCATTATCATTTTAACTAAGACAAAAACACAATCTAAAAGTCTTATAGTTGTTAAGTAATTAAACAAATAGGAATAGCAGAATTCAACCTGATATTTTAAACACATTGAAATATTTAATTGAGGGCCAGGGATATAGCTCAGTGGCATAAACACCTGCCTCGCAAGTGCAAGGTCATGAGTTTGATTCTGAGTACCAAAATAAAATCAAACATTCAATTGTGCCACATTACAATATGGGAAATGCTTATCCTATATATGATACTAAGTATGAAAGTTGAAAGTCAAATATAAGGTATATCACAATTATGAATACAGAACAGGTATAATCATTCACATACAAAAACTGAAGTTTGAAAAAGAAATACAGTTCATTACTCAAAATGGTAGAAATATGAGTAATTTTTCCATTTGTTTCCTGCTCTTCTTACATTATTTTATGAAAATAATACAATATCAGTCATGATAAAATATTGCCCCTCTACTCAACAGGAAGGCTTTCCCCATCTCCATGCGACCCTTGATCTATTTAGAGCTGTGAATGGGTCTGAGCACAAGGTTTGGCTGAATCCTTGATATCATATACATATATTCCCTGCATATGTTTCCTTCTCTGCCTTCATGATGCAGGCTTCTTAAAAGGCTTAAACATAATTTAAAAGCCCACTCCAAATCCTCAAGCAGCAATGGGACAGGATTTAGAGGAAAGAGCCCAGTCCCCTGGTGCAGAAATATGCAATCTTCCATGTTACTAGTGACCAATAACACCCTCCACAATCTTACACAGACACCCAAAGCAAACAGTCCAGATAGATTTCAAGCCTCTTTTGAAAATTCAGCTCAACTGCAGCAATAAAATATTTGCATTGTTTAGATATACAAAAAAAAAAAAAAAAGCAAAACACCTCTGCCTCAAAGGCCTTGAGGACTATGGCCTCATATGACTATGCAAAACCTTCTACAGCTCTTTTGGCCCATAGTGGAAATAATTATATATGATGGGTACCAGTGAATAGGCCTAGATGCTTCATAATTCTAGGAAGGCCTGATTTATAGCTGCTTAAGAAAGATAATAATGTACAAAATGATTTCTTTTTTAGTATTCAATCAAAATATGCTGATTAATAGGCAAATACACAAGTATTTATCTATTTTTGTTCTCCATGGCCACCATATACAGCTTGTATCTTCTTTCAGAAGGTCCTTTCCAGTTATCTTTACTATCAGGAGTATATTTGAAAGTCAATGTCAATTTCTTTTCATTTTAAGAGACAACAGCAAAAATCCACAGGTTACAGTTAAACAAATAAATAGGTTTATAGGCACAGAAGTACAGGACTTGTTTGTTGAACTGAACTGAGCTATGTCCCTTCCTGTTAAGACTCATTACAAACAGGAGCACCAACTCTCTGGAACAAGGCAGTGGAGGTTGGAACTGCATAGTTTTGTGCATGCAATCCGTAGAAGGCCTACATTTTGGGGTGAACGGAAATCCATTCTTTGCAATGGGCGTGTAAGTCAAATATGATAACAACAAAAATAGAATAATGATTATAGTGATTAGTCTTCTTTGTCAGAGAGACTGGACTAGAAAAGATGCCTAGAAAATTGGTTACAACACACTTGTGCGTATGTTTGTGAGGATGCTTCCAGAGATGAGCAGCAGGTAGCACAGCGAACTGGAGGAGAAAAGACACACTCTGAACATAAGAAGAAACATTCAATGGCCTGGGTGTCATGATAGAGCAAAAAAGCAAAAGCAGAGGTAAATCTGCGCATGTGTCCATGCTACCCATGTTGAATGGGTGCAGTTTTTGCTCCTGCCATCACCTGGGGACATCAGATGCCAGGCCAGATTCTTTAGCTTTTAACAAAAACTTGTACCAGTGACTCTCCCATAGTCTCTGGGCCTTTGAATGGGACAGCATCACTAGTCCCTTGGAGGCTCCCTGCTTTTAGACTGAACAGTTTACTGGTTTCCCTGATCTCTAGCCCACAGAGATGGGCCGTTGTGGGGCTCTTCAGCCTCTGGCTGTGTGCAATATTCTAATAAATATTTTGTTACAATGACACATATTCTATTGGTTCTGGTCCTCTAAGAATCTAATACAATGATCAAGCAAAGTGATTTTAGAGCTAACCTTAAAAGGAGCCAACATTCAATATAAGAAATTCTGAAGCTTTTATTTTTATCAAAATTTGTATTTACTACCTTAACTGCCCATAGGAGTGTCCTGTGCCTGTAGGTTGCTGTGGGCTGGATGGGTGGGTGAGATACTGCAGGAGCCAATGCCTGTGAGTTGAGAAGCCAGTGGGTATGGTTGGTCCTGAAGCCAAGGGAATGCATTGGCTACCTATACCCTGACTTTCAAGGTTCCAGGACAGCACCAAAGCCTGACACGTTGGCTGATCACAATGGATTTGCACACCCTTACCCCACTTTCTCCGGGTAGGAGGACCAATTCTCTCTGTTTGTCCCAGACTGAGCAGTTTCCCAGGCCCATCGATGCTAAAACTGGGACAGTATGGGACAAACCTACCCCTGAGGCTTACTGGTATTTTAAGCAACAAGCTCTAAAGCCAGAGGATCAGAGACCAAAATGAATGCAGCTTTCAGTTACACTTCCCTTGTCAGAATGATTAGAACAAAATAGGAGAGGATTGGTTGGAGTTTGCTTCCAGTGATGTATCAGGCACGTGGAACACTGACGTTCCTTTCTGTTTAGCTGTGAGGCGTTGGTTAAGGAATAAGGGCATTCCTTACAGAGCCTGTCTTTTTAGTCCCTCAAGGGCTCACTCCCTAGGTCACTGAAATCACTGGTTACACAGTGACATGAAAAAATGTTTCTCATATGAAGCAAAAAAAAATTAAAAACCATGATTCTACTTGCTTTTATTCTGTAATTATCCAATTTAAAACGTGCTTCAAACTTGGGGAGGAAAGACATCAAAATTCTGGCAACTAAAACAAAGTATGATGAATTTGCTTTAGCTTGATTGTTGTCTATGTTTTTTTTTTTTTTCCTTGTCAATGTGGCTAATATCTTTTATATTGAAAAAAAATAGCATAATGAAAAATAACCAACAGAGGCTGTGTACTTCAGTTTGACAAAAGATGGGTCTTTTGGGGGAATAATTTGGAATAATTAAACTATTACCAGCTTCCAAGTTTTTATAATGAATAGTCATAAACTTTAATTTTTGTTCATAAGATAATCTTTAAAAAACACATTCCATAATTTAAGCATTTATGTGAGATGGAAGATATTTGGATGACAGGCTTTTTTGTGTCTGTTTGAGACAAGGTTTGCTATGTGCAGCTCAGGCTAGCCTTGAATTTGCACCAGCCCTCTTGCCTCAGCCTCCTGAGTGCTGGAATTAAAGCATATGCCACCATGCCTGGTACAAGCATTTTTTTTAACTTTGTCAAACAAGCAGTGATGAAAAATACATTTTAATTTTTAGTTTTTAACTTACAGAGTGCTTTCATTGGCATATGGCTTTATTTCCATCTTCTTTATAAAGTAAGGACAAGAAAGATTATACTGGACATCTTCACTTTGCTGTTACAGAAACTGATATAAGGAGGTTCCAGAAGGAGTTCTAGATCTCAGAACTTCCAAACTCTTTCCTATAATTATGTCCGAAAGGAGCTCAATTCTTTCAAACCAACACACATTCATTGACTCCTTCACAACTAAATGTTTAGTGCTCCTGAAAGGTCTCTGGAATCTGACAGCTGATTGAGTGTAAGACACAGTCTCTGTCTCCAGTTTAGAAACAATCTTGGCCTGTTTGTCCAACTCTGCTGACATCTCTCATTCTTCTCTTCAACTCTATAGACAAGGATGCCCACAGTTGGCAGCAGAAGCCTCAGTCCTAGCTCTGTCTAGGCTGCTGCAGAATTCTACCAACAACTCAAGGTCAGAGACTCTCAACATTTGTATCTTTAGCCTTTGCATGGTGGGGCTGCTGCTGCCCCACTCCCTAATCTATTGACAAATTCTGAGTGAAGAATTCTAATATTTAGAGGTTTTGTGCAATGCTGTACAGGATCATCTGCTGTTTTTCTTTGTCCATGTCTACTCTCTCCTCTCTTAATGATTGTATTTCAGGCAGCCCTTTTCTCACTGGATACAGCTTCAGGGG